CACACACACACACACACACAGTTGTGTTCAGAATGATAGCAGTGTGTCTAAAAAAGTGAATAAAGCTGAAAATCCTTATAATAGTTTTTATTTCCATACAAGCAAATGCATTGGGAGCACTACACATTCTATTCCAAATCAAAACAAGAAGAGAAATTCATCACATTTGTGTTATTCCTTTACAGAAAGTGAAGGAAAGGGAGTATTCAGCTGTTCAAAAAAATAGCAGTGTCCACATTCTTCTTTACAAACTCAAAGATTCACTGTATGAACTGAAAAATGTTTTAAGATTTTGCTTTACTTTGAATCATTGAACTAATATTTAATTGTATAACCACTGTTTCTGAGAAATGCTGCACATCTGTGTTGTATGGAGTTGACCAACTTCTGGCACCCGTGAACAGGTATTCCAGCCCAGGATGATTGGACTACATTTCTTGGTTTTGCCTTAGAAACAGCATTTTTGATGTCACCCCACAAGCTTTCTATTGGATTAAGGTCCGGGGATTGGGCTGACCACTCCATAACGTCAATCTTGTTGGTCTGGAACCAAGAAGTTTCTCATTTACTGGTGTGTTTGGGGTTATCTTGTTGAAACACCCATTTCAAGGGCATTTCGTCTTCGGCATAAGGCAACATGACCTCTTCAAGTATTTTGAGGTATTCACACTGATCCATGATCGCTGGTATGTGATAAATAGGCCCTCCACTGTAGTATGAGAAACATCCCCATATCATGATGCTTGCACCACCATGCTTCACTGTCTTCACAGTGTACTGTGGCTTGAATTCAGTGTTTGGGGGTCATTTGACAAACTGTCTGCAGCCACTAGACCCAAAAAGAACAATCTTGCTTCCATCAGTCCACAAAATGTTGCGCCGTCTCTCTTTAGGCCAGTCGATGTGTTCTTTGGCAAATTGTAACCTCTTCGGCACATGTCTTTTTTTCAGCAATAGGACTTTGCAGGGGCTTTTTGCAGATAGCTTGGCTTCATATAGGTGTCATCTGATTGTAACAGTACTCACAGGTAACTTTAGACCTTCTTTGATCTTCCTGGAGCTGATCATTTGCTGAGTCTTTGCCGTCTTGGCTATTCTACGATCCATTCGAATGGTAGTTTTTCGTTTTCTTCCACGTCTTTTAGGTTTTGGTTGCCATTTTAAAGTTGAGCAGCCTATCATTTTCTGCATTTCTTTATATATTTTCCTCTCTCCAATCAACTTTTTAATCAAGGTACGCTGTTCTTCTGAACAATGTCTGGAATGACCCATTTTACTCAGAATTTCAGAGAGAAATGCACTATAACCAGTATAACCAAATGTACAACATTTGCTGCCTTCCTTCCTTAAATAAGGCCCATAATTGGCACCTACTTTTTCACAGAATGAATGACCTCACTAATTGAACTTCACAATCCTATTATTTTGAACACCCGCCTTTCAAGTAATGATTCTGTTACACGTAATCAGCAGCATGCATGTCATGACTGTTGGGTCTGTTGGTTTTCCATTACTCTACTACACCTACTAGTAAATTATATGCCATGTAGAAATATAATTTCTACCAAAAACGGTGATTGATCATGTTAGTCATGTCGGACTGCTATTATTCTGAACACAACTGTGTGTGTATATATGTATGTATATATATATACACATACACACACACACACACACATAAGGGTATATACAGGTACTAATACAAATAGATAGAAGAACGTGAAATATGTTATAGCAGTGGAATATATACATATTTAAGTGCATGCTTATACTAGGATGTGGAAATAAATAGTATATAGTATTTGAGTGAGTGTTCCTGGACTTACTGATGAGGTGGGCTGTGGTTTGTGATCGACACGTGCACCGAACTCTTGGGTGAGTCAGAAATTTGCTTCCCTTGTCAAACGATACAGTTCATCGAAGGATCTGTGACATGTTCCAAGACGTTAAGCACCAGATAACTAAGAGTCTCTCAGCTAGTGACTGTTCTGCATTACAGCTTGATGAATGAACCAATGTAGCTAATTGTGCAATTTTGCTGGTGTATGTGCAGTATGTGTGGAATGGTGACTTTGAAGAGCAGTTTTTGTTTAATGCTGATTTACTGAAATCCACCACTGCAGGAGAGAGTTTTTCTGCATTGGATAATTTTATTTGAATTCAGTGGGGCTAAGCTGGACAAAATGTACTGGCGTTACAATAAAGTGCAGCTCTGATGACAGGCAAACATTCAGGGGCTGTGAAAAAAATTCCGGATGTAGCCGCAATGGATGCAACGTGGAAACATTGCTGTTTAACACAGAGAATCATTAGCGGCCAAGGAATTGGTACAGGAGCTTCACAAAACAGAAAGTTGTTGATTACGTCACGTATAGCACCAAGAATATGTTGTGTTTCGAAGTTTTTGTCAAGAGATAGGAGTGGGTACAAACACCTGCTCTATCACGCTGAGGTCCACTGGTTCTCTAGGGGAAAAGTGTTATCCTGAGATTACGAGCTCAGAAGCAAGTTGGCAGCCTTTCTTGTGGATAAGAATTCAGATCTAGCAGAATATTTTAAGGATGTCCTGAGGATTGCTCATCTTTCATATTAAGCAGACATTTTTGATTACTAGAATACAATGAACCTGTTATTACAAGGGAGGGGACCATAATCGATTTGAGCAAACTGACAAAATCGATGCCTTCAAAAAAAAAAAAAGGACAATGCATGTCACCAAAGGTACACTGGACATAGTAGCAAATGTGTGTCATAAAAAACCTCATAGATTCAGACATGCAAGAGTCACAACATGAAAGGATACAGTATAAAAATAATTTTTAAATGATCAAGATTTCAAATTTAAATGAAGTCTAACACTGTTTAGAGTTTAGTTTCACAACTAAACACAATTTAATAAAAAAAAAACTGATCCATGCGATAAAATTATATTGTCTCATGTAAGACTACAATCTTCATTAGTAAAATGCCCCATTCTTGCATCTGAATGCTCAGCAAATTGGCCTCAGTAATGTGCAGATTCATAATGAAAGATAAGGAACACGCTCTTCATTCATCTTATCTGTTTCATGTGTATCATGACAGAAACACATTAAATAGCAAAAGGTGATTGGCGATCACAAAACCCATGTTCATTTTTTTGGGAAGGAGGGAGATCTACAAATATTGACAGATACCTTTATTATGCAGTGCAAAGCATCCTTAAAGCTTTATACCAACCATTATAATGCATTATAAAGGTATCTATAGTACATTAGAGATGACAGCTTCATAAAGCATTCATAATGCATGATACACATATGACTATCATATGTTATGCCTTTTGATAAATATTTATAGCCATGCTTATAATGCTTTATGAATGCCTTATTATTTGTCAAAATGTGCTTATACATTATGAAAAACATGGCCTAAAGTGTCACCAAATTTTCTTTCTATGATATTCTGTTAACGAGATATAATCGTTTTTGTTGAAGAAGACCTATTTCGCAACTGGTCCATATTGACATTATGCCCTCACTTGGGGACTACAAACATGGCACCATTTACCTGGAACTGGGAAGGAGGGTCTCAGCTCTTCATTGGTGTATAGCTCTGTCAATCAAAACCCGGAACATACAACCGGTGCACTGTAACAAATTGCTATAATTTTTACAGCAAAATTCAACAGTAAATTACTGCTTTATCATTTTACAAGCTGTAACTGTAAATGGCAATGCATTGTGGGTAAGGAAAAAATACTATATTTTGCAGTATTTCTACAGTGACTGACAAATCCAATTACAGCTCATATGTGTTACGTCTGTATTTTATACACTTTACAACAACATATTGTGTACTGTGTCACCGTTGCATTGTGGGTATGCACAGGTCACTTTTTGTTGAAGCTTAATTAAAATTAACCTCAAGCAGCACACAAGCGAAAAAAAGGAGACGACGTAGAACACCACTGGTAATTTCATATATTACTGTACTTTATCATTTTAACTATTAAAGCTAATTTGGGCAAATTACATAATGTGTGTGCCATTTCCGTAATATAACAGGTTGTGTCAGGCTAACGTGATTCCCCCTTTATTGCAGGACAGAAGCGGAGACTGAAAACCAACAGACACTGATGAGAGTCTTTGCTAAGTAAAATGGTAAGAGAATATTTGACGGTCATATGCATACTGTACGTGGGACGGTGAGGAGATGAGCGAGCGTGCGCGAGTAGATTAATTACTTTTGTGAGAAGGAGAGAGATGTGTTTCTTTCTTAGTTATAATTCAGCAGAAGTTTTACTTTTCCCCTCGTATTTTCAGATATGTACTTTGACTTTGCAACCGCGAAAAATACATTCCGGTCAGTTAGAAATTCAGAAGGGTCAGACTAATTTACAATTTACTCCACGTTAGCTTTGTAAAACCTTTTTCAAACTTGGTATATATCCTCTGCTCGACCTTAAAAACATTGCGTGGGTCTGCCTAAATTTCTGTATAAAATTCAAAAGGGAACCAGCATAATTTTTTTTTAGCATTTCAGGCACGCCACGGATGCTAGAATTAATATTTGAATTAGCAATGGTTGCTTCTTAGCGGTTTGGTGTTGTTCATATTTTAGCACACCAATGAAACCATTGTTTTTCACAGCTAACAGCTTCACATGAGCTCTCAGAAATGTATGTCTGCAAACAGTGTAGCAATAAAAGTAGTAGCATTTTAGCTTTTATTCAGCATATGAAACTGCACAGTAATATTCCGCACTGCCCATTCACCTGTGGTATACCGAACTGTTCGCGCGCATATAAGAAATTTGCAGCCTTTAAGTCTCATCTATATAGAGATCATAAGGGTTACCAATCATCTGTTAGGAGTGCTCAATTTAAACAGACTGATACGATTTTAATTTACTAGATTGAATTTTGTCAGAATACATCCACTAATTTGAAGGAGTTCATTACTCATTTGAAAGGTCATATACAGGAGGGCAGAGAAGTAAAATGTTCTTTTAGGGGATGTGAGAGAACTTTCACATTGAGTATGTGAACATTTACTTTCAGACCCTTCTGTTCAGCAATAACTGTATCTAAGTATTTCTGGTCAGTTTTGCACATGGGCTTGGAGTAATTTTAGCCTGGTCTTTTGTACTGAATGACTTTTTCTCACAGGAACTGCTTAACACAACATTTCTATTGATCAGGACTTGTACATTGCAAACACTTTAATGTTATTCTTTTTTAACCACTGTCTGGTAGAACATCTTGTGTGTTTAGGATCATTGTCTTGCATTATAAGCAAATTTTTTTTGAGATTGGATGCACAGACAGATATGTCCTGATGTTTTATTGATATAATTCAGAATGCCATATTTATGTAGAAATATAGAACATTCTAAGAGGTTTACAAACTTTCAGGTATCACTACACTTAGTATGTGCAGTCATATTGATTCCTTTGAGTCTTATGAATTGTTCATTATACTTTATACTGAATTGTTTGTGTCTGTTCATTTGATTTTTAGATGTTTTATCGGAATCAACCCAACAACTGGCTGTGTCTTTTACAATGATTGTAAAAGTCTCTGAAAAAAGAAGCAACACAATCAACTCTCGTGTCTGTACTTTGCTGAAAAGAATAATGCACTTTGAATGGTTGTGCCTGTAAGTGTGGTGTTCTTAAGGTAAAGCGTAGTACCTATAGACATTTAGCTTGTTCTTCTCACAATGTTCTGCCGTGTGTGAACATGTCCCTTAAAATGTTTGACAATCTTTAGTTAACAGTTTATATAAAAATTGTTTATCAATGTTTGAATAGGGCCAGGAAACAAAATGATACTTAAATTATTGTTTGTCTATTTCTGTATCACCAGTACTGTAGAGTGAACCGTTGCCAATATCAGTATCAATATACTGCAATAGTTTTAAAACTTTTTTATTCATTATCAAAGTTCATGTGCCCTTGTTTGTAAACTGACACTTCAATACCGTTGTGCTTTGCAATATAAATAGTATTTTTAAATGTAGGTTTTAATAACTGTTTTGAATTTGACATTTCTGACTGTTTTATTTTTTATTGATTTTGATGCAATATTCAAACTTTTAGAATTTGAATTTACTAGTGTACATTATTTGGCAGGTAGTCCTGTAATTTATACAATTTGCCAACATTTTTTCTGTATAAATATTTTACAGCAACGTGATGTTCCTAGAACTTTTTACAACACATTATTGGCAACTCCAGTTATCAGGTAATTACTGTAACTAAAGTTTACAAAACAATGCTGTAAACATGTTTACAGTGTTATTGTAAAATAAAAATAACAAAGTTCTGTAATTGATGTACAATAATAAACTGTAATTTAGTATACAGTAACGTATTGTAGATCTGTTTTTCAGTAACTAACAACTACTTTACAATATCTTATTGGCAACTTTTTTGCCAGTAATTTACTGTAATTTCTACAGAATTTTTTTTACAGTGCAGGATTTCTTGCTTAGCTGGATAACTTGTTGAATTTATGGTAGTCTGGGCTAAAGTGAACAAAGATAAAGTCCATTTAAACTAGGGTACTTTAAATCTCACAAGTTATCTATACGATACAGGCCCCTAAGGCTGCATGATATCACATTGTGATGTACTCATGATTATATGACACATGCACAATAATCACCAGGGCTTTAGATGATGGGCAAGACATTTGTCTGGATGCCAGATTTTTGGTACTATATATGGACATTTACTTATGCCCAAAATTTAGTAAGCAGATTAGTAGTACACCTAAGATATTAGTCATCTATAATTTCAGCATATCCTTATGCCTAATAAACTTGTGGGACTTCAGACTGCAAAAACACCACAACACTGATGTCTTTACCTTCTTTTTCCATGATATCTCCTCTTTTAAAAGAAGTTATTGCTGCTGAGCTGTCCCGTTCTTCACTGCCACTTCAGTGCTTATCGCTTCCATGAAATACCATCCCCAGGCACTGAATTAGCTGCCCCCTGCTATGTCATGATATCACATGTGGGTTAATGCCAAAGAAAACGGCACCCAATGCCGTGTTCTATGAATTAGTAGGGGTAACATTAGTATACTGTACTGTAAATGTACTAGTGTGACAAATATCCGTTAGGCGATACTGTACTTTATTTTTACATCAAACATTTGTTTTTTTGTAGGTAATGTATTAAGCTAACTTTTAAATGAATTAAATGATTTACATGTTTTGGGAGCATGACTGGGGTCATATTTAGGGTTTAAACTATAGAAATAAACACATATTACAATTTTTAGTGACTGGAACCTAACCTCATGAATGTCCGAGGTCTGACTGTATATGTCTAACATAAAACGTTCTTTCCCAAGTCACCCTGGATAATGCATTTCTAATAGACCTGCAATAGAAATTAGAAATGCTTAACTAAATAATCCTTCTTAGAACAAACATCATTTAACATTCCAGAACATGACAAGCATCTTTAAATTTCACAACATCCTCCCCCACTGATTCAACTGTTCATCTACACTCCAAAGGGTAAAACATTTGAATTGGTCTCCTTAACACTGTCCCTGAGCTAGTGCGAACATACTCGCACATGACAATCACATCCTGGAAACAATTCCTCAGTCCTTTTTAGCTTCCAGCACCACTGTGGAGTGCTGTCTCCACCAATGAGTACATTATCTACCACCTTCATTTAAGTGGACTGAGATGCATCCAGGTTTTACACAGATGTCACGTTTAGCAGATAGTCCTTGCAGCAGATGTTCCAGAACTGTGTCATCATTGTCTCTCTGTATTTCCATCTCCTTGTCATCTCTTCTCCCTTACATTTTGATAGTGGGCATCCCTAGGTCGTGACTTGGTGGGTAAGCAGATCAGTCTCTGTCCCACCAGAAAGTCAGCTGGTGTTAGTGGTCGTGGTTCATCCACTTCATTGTATACAGAGGTAAGGGGTCTGGAGTTTATGATGGCTTCTACAGAAGAATTGTACACATTTCCTCAAATTTAATACATGATTTGCCCAGCACATTTCTTAGGGTGAGCTTCACAGAGAAAACAGGTCTGTCCCAAAATCCACCCCAGCATACTGCTCTCTCAACAATGAAGTTCCAGGTGATTCCCTTCTCCTAAAAGAATTCCCTCAATTGCATGTATTTAATGCTCTTCCATAACACTCAAAAATCTTGGTCAGCTCTCTTGAATGTTCTGGCATTGTCTGAATAAATTACTTTACATAGCCTCCATCTAGAAACAAAATCTCTTGACTAGTAGAAAATTCTCAGTGAACAAATCTGATACTAGTTCCAAATATATTGCTCTTGTCACTGCACAGGTGAACAGTGCAATGTATGATTTTTTTTCAATGAACCCAACAATTTCACATAGATTTGTCTTGCAAAATCCAGTCCTGTAACCTCAGACCTCTGTTATTCTGTCCCTTGGCAATTGTGCTGTAGTCTGCTGGCCAATCTTAACCTTGTATTTCTTACAGAGATGATATCTTGATATGATCCTTTTAATTACTTATCTTGGTCTTAAAATCCAATATTACTTTCTGGTTTGCACCAGTGTGTCTCTTACACATGAGTGCAAAAGCCTTTCATAATAATACTGTGCAAGCTTCTCAGTGGTTGTTTGGTCAGATCCATGGATGTTGCGCTATGTAAGTGAAATATGAATGATGGAACCTTCCAGCAACACACACTAACTGATCTTCAACCAGGAAAGGCTTCTGGTTCAGGATGCAAGAGTCATTGATGTAATTTCCGGCTCTGGGAAAGCTGATTTCTGACCTTAATGTCTGATATCACCATAATCCATGATTTTTCTGCTTCATTCAGCTCTTCCACTACCATTTCACCATACTCAGTTTTTCTTTGTGGTGCATTGGCGATACAGTAAATCTCTTTATCCAAGCTGTCACTCTGAACACTCTTGTCAAGTTACTGTATTTATCCAGGTCCAACACTGGCTTGAACAGTTCTGTGTCCTGATTAATAAGCGACATGGTAAGCTGGTGGCTGGTTCATAGTTCAGCGTTTACCTCATCCTCTCACACAGAATTCTTGGCTTTCTGTATCTGATCAGCTGTTATTGGCAAAACATTAGGTCCATTCCTCCACAGCAGGATCCAATTCAATCCCTATTAGGAAGATCTGCTAGATTCATTTTTACCTTGACAACGTGACCATAAGCTTGTGAGGCAGTGTAGTTGTTAAAGGAAGGGGGTTAACAATTATTAATCCAGAATGGCATGTTATGAAAAGTATGTGGTGTAGGATTATTAATAATTCAGGAAATTGTTAGAATATGTTGCTCATTAGCTCCTGTCCAGTGTAATTGATTGCTGTGAATTTGCTGTGGTGTTTTTTTGTTACTTGTTGTTTAGTGCTTTGTGCTGTGTTGTGGATGCCCACATTTTGAGAAGTTATTGAGACCCCAATTAATTCACAGTGTGGGATTCTGAGGCCTGGTCATAGGATGCTAGGGGGCAGCGTATTACTTGCTAATGTTCTTATTTTTATTGGGGTTTATATATGAGTAAACTGTTATTGATTTTTTTGTCTGCATCAGCCTTCTTTGTGGGTCCCCTGAGATCTCTGTTGTAGGGAGATTAATGTAAGGCGGGTATTGTATTATGTTACACTTGGGCTAGACGGTGACCGGATTTCTATTACTCTGAGGCAAAAGGTTTCCATCTATGAGCAGAAATGCATATCCAGTGCAAAACTATCATGGAATAGGTCTAAAACCTGATTTGAGATTCATCTATCTGCAGAATTCTTAACAGACTGCTCCCTAGTCTTGCTCCAATAACAACTCCCATTATCTCTAGACAGGGCAGAGTTATCTTCTTGAGTGGGGCTACTTTGGACTTGGAGGGTAGTAAGCTTGTAGTAATTTCTCTGTTTTTTGTTTCTCCCTGCAAGTAAGCTACAGCACTGTATGCTCTTTCACTGGCATCACAAAATAACTGCAGTTTCAGAGTGTGGTCATTCTGTGTCAAAATATGTATTCCATACCATCGAGGAATGGATAGCTGATGCAACTACGGGAGTTGTGAACACCCCTGCTGCCACGTTCTTACCAGATCTAAGGGCATCCATCTTCTCATCCTAGTAAAGTCCTCTTTTCCACATTTCCTGAAACAGTCACTTTTTCCTTATGGCGAAAGGGGTCAGGAAACTAAGAGGATCAAAAATGCGTGGAGAAGTCTCAAAACACTTCTCTCCGTATTCTGTCTTTCTTAATATCAAACACACCATGAAGCCACACCAGCCCCATGACCTTTAGTACTATTCCATTTGCACAGTCGATTGAGCTCTTCTGCCATTTTTGTTTCAGATGTGGGGAATTAGTCATCCATTTACAAAGATCCATATCAGCAGTAGACATATTTTTATTTCTTATCTTTCTGTGGTTATCACTAAATAAACCTCCCCCACCTCCCTTGAGCTTGCAAGAAGGTCATCTACATGCAGTGAGTTTCTGATGGTTTCAGCCACCAGTGTATATTCTGATTCATACTGCTTCAGATGTTTCCATATTGTAGCTGCTAGTAGGAAAGGACTGGGGGAAGCACTAAAAAACACTCTGGTTATTCACACATGGTTCATTGCGCTCCTCAATTAGTGAGCCTGTTTTCCACAGAAACCTCACAGCATCCCTGTTCTTTTCAGACAAGAACATCTGCAGAAATGCCTTCTTAATGTCTGCCATGTATGGAATTTCGTGCAGCCTGAACTTCATTGAACAAATCTGGATTCATACTGGTTCCAGTTGACAGGCAATCATTAAGGGAAGGACTTCCATTTGCATGAGATAAAGCATCAAACACATGCACAGCTTGGTGGTCACCTTATCCTCTCTCAGCAGAGTTACTTGCCAATTTGCATGTCCTCACTTAGTTGGATCTGTATATAGGTGATGTCTGACATACCAGATCCTGTCACAGGACCCTGTACAGACCAACCAAATATGTTTTCTAGTGCAATCACTTTCTCTGGCCTGTCACAATCTGCCAATAGTAATTAGAGCTAATTAGTGCAGAAAGTTCAGATTTGTTGCTGTCCTTTGTCTTTCAGAATTTTGCAGTATATTTAGGCCCCATACAAAACGCCTGCCAAGCCTTTTCAGTTACTCCTGACGTGCTGCAACATTAAAATCTGGACACTGTTTTGATTTTTATTCAGCATTATTACAGAACAAACAGCCTCAGGTCTTCTGACTAACTGTGTGTAGTGCCGCTGTGATGGCAAGTTTTGGCTGCTTTGCTTTAGCTTCACTTGAGGAGTACAGCTTAGATGATTTATACACATGTTGGACTTCTTTCCATTAATGGGATCTCACTATCTGCAAAGCCTTCTCTCTGCTCTCTGCTCTCAGCCTCAACTCTTAGAAATTCACGATACCCTAAATTTATCATTAAAATCAGTTCTAAGTAAAATGAGAAGATGAGGCGTGTATCCTTCCCTTTTACCTTCCTTTTATTTACAACTTCGTCACAGCACTTCACTTACTCCTTTTTTGCAACTTTGACTACAAAAAAGTATACATCTACCATAAAACGTTCTTTCCCAAGTTACCCTGGGTAATGTAATACGCCTAACTAAATAATCATTCTTGAAACAAACATCAATTATAATTCCAGAACCTCAGAAGCATCTTTAAATTTTACAACACTTCATATTTATAGATTATACAAAGTACTAGTTCCGACATTCAGAACCCTGAGCTCATAATGTCTCCCAATACCTATGTGTAGAGCAACTATGACATAACTTTGAACTAAGAAAAATCAATCAAATCATGAGGGAAATGTGTTATTTAATCATATATCATCTGTGTGAATGTACATGCTGCCTCTTGGAGCTTGGGTAATATTTTCAGCATGTTTTTAAGCTATGCAACTGCTGTAACATGGTTTCCCTCTCTGAATGGAGTATGGCCCTTTTGGGATTTATAATCAATGTCTGTATCAGAATCAGATATAAAATTATTTTTGAAAATAAATGCTGTACTAGCATTTCTTTCTTGAAGTCGTTGTGCGACTCACTTGTTCCTGCAGGGCTGTTATCCACTGTTGTGTTGATATGGGGTGGGGTGAGTCGGTGAGTACTCACACCATGAGTCGATGAGTACTCACACCATGAGTCGGTGAGTACTCACACCATGAGTCGGTGAGTACTCACACCATGAGTCGGTGAGTACTCACACCATGAGTCGGTGAGTACTCACACCATGTGTCGGAACACAACTTGACTGGGACGGGAAACTGAATCTGGGCATCTTCTGTGCTAGTTACCATAAGCTAAAAGCATTAGTTAATTGTATGAACCAGGGGCACCAGCTTTTGAGCGGCGCCGACATAGCAAACAGCACACGGCACGCACCATCAGAGGCAAATTAAAATTGACTGGTTTGCGCCCCTAGAAGTACCTGCGTTCTCTCAGTGCCTGCACAGAACAGCTACTTGATGTGAGCCTCGGAGGGGGCTCTGACTCAGGAGTCAGTTTCACTCTGTCTTGAACAAGGGGCACTGCCCTGGCATGATTTGGGGGCAGGGGCACGGTGTCGATGACGGTGTTAGGTCAGCATGGTGTGTCCAAAAAAAGAAAAACGTGGTAAGTGAAGTGGTGACAAGAAGAAGGCCAGCATTTCAAAGTGAGCAAAGATTGTTACAGTAGTAGGGCCATCAAATGATTAATTTGTTAAATCACAATGAATTGCACAGGGGCGGTATGGTGGTGTAGTGATTAGCACTGTTCCACTTGAACCTGAGTTTGAGTCTGTACTATGGTCCTGTGTGTGGAGTTTGCATGTTATCCCTGTGTTGTTGTGGGGTTTCCAAACAAACCAGTACAAAAACATGCTAACATTAATTAGAGTTGCCAAATTACCCAGAGGTGTGTGAGTATGGCCTGCAGTGGGTTGGTGCCCCATTCTGGATTGTTCCCAGCCTTGTGCCTATAGCCTCCAAGTTTGGCTCTAGACCTCTCAAGACTCTGAATTTGACAAGCAGTTACAGAAAATGGATTAATTGCATACACAAGCATGCTGCAATACTACCAAAAAAAAGATTTTATAGCCTTCATATTCGGTACGGAAATTAAATTCTATAAAAAAAACTATTCTCCCTCTGTGGTATTAAAGTTAACGCAGTTAAACTCAACATGATCAAAGGAATAATACTGCATTATGACTTCATAGCATGTGTTTTATTAGACATATTCTTATTATTACCTTTATTTCTTCAGTTGTATTGTTGGTGTGTTCACTTTGGCATTGGGTGTAGTGCTCGTGGGGGTGGGCAGTGCCAGCGGTGAGCTGACCTAAGGGGCCACCTGGGTTGGACCAGTCATGGGTGAGTGTTCTGCTTGTACTGATTTGGGCAATGTAAAAAACATGCCTTATACTTATAAAATAAATGTTCCCTCACAGGTTAGCAGCAGGGTGACCATATCACCAAACACATTGACCTTGTCGGTGTAATGACACATCAATAACAGGACAAGGTCAATGGGCCATGCCGGTGATTGTAGTGAGCACGTTTTAATGCTCTGTGTGTTTTGGATTTCAAATCTTGTTCATTTGGTTTTCACCAGTTTATCGTGAATGATGCCACGATGTGGGGTGCTTTTACAACTATTGTTCAGGAAACCCACTACAGGCTTCAATATAACATGCCCTTTACAAATTTACAGTATCGTGTAATAAACATCAACCTCCGCCTTCAATAAAGTCATGTTTACCATAGGCCTCAAAAATGTTTGAAAGTTATCACCAAATTCATCCATGTACAAATTTGTCATAAATTTAAATTTAATAATTTTTGCGTATTGGACACTGTAAATACTGCTAATTTATATTACATACTTTATACTCCAATACATATATATTTAATTTTTATCTTTATAAGTGTGTGTGACTAGCTCTGTGGCTTATCCGTGACCTGAGCACTTAATTTCGCTCCACGGCATGTGTGAACATGTGTGGAATGACAATAAAGTTTCTTGAATCTTCTTGAATCATAAATATAAAGTAAAATTTAAAATTAAGCTTTGGAGGGTGGGGTGAGTGACTTAGCTTAGCCTCTGTGCCTGTGATTGGAAGGTCACTGATTCAAGCCCGGCCACAGCAGAGTAATCACATGTCTGTGGGCCTTTGAGCAAGGCCTTTAACCGCCAGCTCCACGGGGACCTTCACTGTGATACCCAAGTTTCCTCTCATCCGTGTGTCTCATGGAGAGCAAGATGGGGAAGGTGAAAAGAGAATCTTCCCTACCATGATCAATGATCAATAAAGTATCGTTCAATTCTATGAGCTTTTTAAACAATTTGTATTCTGTCTTATAATGAAAGCTTTCTGGAGGTCATGCCAGAGACATGTCATCCATATGCCTTGAATAGCGGTGAGAGGGTGAGATCTCCCAGACAGGAGGAGGAAGGCAGCACCGAGTCACTGTTAACACTGTTAAAGTGCCCAGATGACCCTCATTTCCTGGATGGGACTTGTTACAGGCTGTTTTTTCCTGTGGTGTGGGGTATGACAGTTCGCCTCTCCATCTCCTCCGTCTGTCCTCCATTCGTCCGCTCCGCCTCCATGGTCCCACCCACATCTTCCTCCTACATGTCATCCAGTCCATCACTTCCCAGATCTGAAACAGAATGCCATTTAATCACTGTGGAAACTCTGCTCATCAATTATTGTTATTCATCTTACAAATGTTCCTTTTTGTGATCCAAACACCTCAAACTTAGACCATAGCACTTTTTTTCAATCTTCCTCTTTCGAATGTCTGTGTTCATTTGCCCATCTCAATCTTTTCTTTTTATTGTCCATTCTGAGATATGGCGTTTTCTTTGCAATTCTGCCTAGTAGTGTTGTAGTTCTCGAGACCGGTCTTGGTCTCGAGACCGGTCTCGAGACCAATTTTTTGTGGTCTCGGTCTTGTCTTGGTCTCGACTCTATTTGGTCTCGGTCTTGTCTTGGTCTCGGACATAGCGGTCTCGATGGGATGGGGAAAAAAAGAGAAAACTGCACATCCTCACAGAACAGTATCATTATTTATTACGCGCCTCAGTTCAAATGCAACCAGTCAGATGCATCCATTTCAAAAACGTTACATTTTATACATTTTCTCCACGGACACTGCCAGTGCTTCACAGTCCACAAACATCATACACATCGTATCATACATCGGCAAATAAATGTCCGAAAATGTCCGCGAAGTCTATAGCATAGTTATAATTCAAATAAATTAGGTATTTTACATTGATTAGAAAGCACGGTCTTGGAGGTGCAAGTCAATCTGGAGGCTCATTCTCTTCAATTCAAAGCAAAGGATCATTACATAGCTGTATTCATAGCTTACCCGAGGCCTCTGTCCCTGGTATAAGAGACTTAATATGAACATCTTTCTGGTACATCCCATCTCTTTCCCTTGACGAGGTCTGATAAAATGTTTATAGGAGAGGATTGCTGAGAATATTATTTTCCATCAGGTCTCGTAACTATGACAAATCTGGGAGATTTTAAAAGAGAGACATATGGACATACGGACAATATAATTGAAAAGATAACATGAATTTGATTTAACGAGTAATGACACTTTACAGCAATGCCTTTTTTCTCTACAGTTGATCTGGGTAATGTGATGTCGATTCTAGCCCTAGTCTGTTTTCGGTCTTGGTCTTGGTCTCGACCAGTCTTGGTCTTGGTCTCGCCTTAGTGTGTCTTGGTCTTGGATTTGGTCTTGGTCTTGGTACCCTCAAGTCTCGGCAATGTCTTGGTCTCGGTTTAGGCGGTCTTGACTACAACACTACTGCCTAGAAGGCCAGCATTCTGGGGTTGCCTCTTCACTGTTGACATTGAGACTGGTCTTTTCCTTGTACTATATAATGAAGTTGCCAGTTGAAGACCTATGAAGTGTCAATTAATCAAACTACACACTCTAATATATGTATCCTCTCACCCAGTTATGGCCTCCTTCTTCTCTTCCTATTGTGGTTAGAGCCAGTTTGCGCTGCTCTTTGAAGGGAGTAGTACGGAGCATTGTACGAGATCTTCAGTTTCCTGGTAATTTCTCGCATGGAATAGCCTTCATTTCTGAGAACAAGAACAGATTGACAAGTTTCAGAAGAAAGTTCTTTGTTTCTGACCATTTTGAGCTTGTAATCGAACCCACAATTGCTCATGTTCCAGATACTCAACTAGACCAAAGAACTAGACCAGTTTTATTGCTTCTTTAATAAGAACAATTTTCATCTGTGCTAACATAATTGCAAAAGGGTTTTCTAATGATCAATTAACCTTTTAAAATGATGAACTTGCATTAGCAAACACAACATTCCACTGGAACACAGGACTAATTGTTGCTGATAATGGGCCTCTGTACACCCATGTAGATATTCCATTAAAACAGCTGTTTACAGCTATAATAGTCATTTACTACATTCAGAATGTCTGTACAGTGTTTCCGATCAATCTGATGTTATTTTAATGGACAAAAAACTTTTTTTTTTTTTCCCAAAAGCAATGAAATTTCTAAGGTACCACAAACTTTTGAATGGTTTTGTATGGTTCTACCAGTGTGTAAGGAGTGACTGCCTTTTTGTCTTTGTGAGGCTGTTTGGATCCTGTTTATTTGGTTAGGGAGTCACATGTAGTGTTTGTCTTTTAGTTTTCTTTTCACATAGGTGAGATTAGCTGTGGATCATGTCTGGAATTGGGGGTTGCATTTGACTACTGAAGTCATTTTCACCAGATTACTTGTGAAAGTAAAATAGGCATTGTGAAATAAAAATATATAAAAATATGAAAAGAAACCCTTCATATACACTTGTGTTCCCTTATTCCCTTACCCTGTTTGGTTCCATATCCCATTCTCCTTTCCCTTCCAAGGTAAAGGAGACTGGGTATCGTTAACAGGCTTCTGGCCTGTATTTCCCTCCACTGACCTGATGGTGGAGCTAATGAGCACTCGCAACTCCTGGGACCTAAAGACACCCCTGGTGGCTAGCGATGATCATGAAGAGACCCTGAGCAGACTCTACATCTAAGGCTCCAAGGGGGTCAACTGTGAATTTCCCCTGAGAAAGGTATTTACACCTGTATTTCACCAGTAAAACATTAATCAGCACAAAAGGATAAAACAGTTTTTCTGACAAATGTGCAGTGTAGTAATCACAATATTTTTCATTCTAAAAGCAATTAATCAATATCATGCTAGTTGGGACTGGAGTACTTGCTTGTCACTGTTCAGTAGTTAGGCCTACTAGTGCTCTAACTTTTGCTACAGTCCATTATGACTCAATATCACCAAAATTGCAATTTAAGGATATCAGTTATGTTTTATTTCTTATTCAGGAGAGACATAGAGTAAAGTTTCCACAAAAAAATGTGTACAGAAAGTGGACCATTTAGTGCGTTTTCACGAAGTACATATTAGTATTACTTAATAGTCAGCGGGGTAAGGATGGTCATGCATTTAAAAACTCTAGTCCTAATTTCTTCTACTCATAAACCGTAGAGCTAAATCCATTTTTAAACGCATTAATCCCTTAAAAAGTGCACCTGGAGAATATATTCCTGATGCGTACAAATTAAGACCAGACAGGCATAGCAGTGTTTTCAGGAAATAAATACCCGTCTCCTGTATTTCCAAACTTATGTGGTAATAGGTCGCAACCGTCAACGGAACAACGATCCTGTAGACATACAGCGGCAGCTGCTGGTATCCTATGCGTCCGCACCCCCCAGTGACGGAAAGCATATGGACGCCATTCTTACCGCAGCATGTCACAAAACAGGCATCTATAATTAGAATTTTGAGATGATCGTACGTCTACTTAATTTTAGGATCCAAACTAGTTCCTAAACCGCCTCCCCCCTCCAAGCGGAGGTACCGCGCGTGGCTGTCGCGCAGCTGCGAGCCCCCGCAAGGGCCCGAGCCGAACGCGCAGGCAGTGACGTCGTGCGCATGCCCGTGTCGGGGACGGCCAGCTGCCAGTGGGAGCGGAGAGGGAGAAAAGGGATAAAAGCGGCCGAAAAGCAAAAGCGAAATGCGGGGTAAAGGTAAGCAGGCTTCGTGGATCTGGCTGAGGCGAGATCAGGGGGGGTTGCTGTGCAGGATGACGAGAGGCGACGTGTTGACACCGCGTATCTTTCTTTCTTTATTTTGAACAAATTACTACTAACTAGCAATCGGGATCTGCTTGTTTATTGGGGCAGTTGCTGGCGTTTGTTTGTTTTTCTTTTTTTGTCAGTTGTAGGATTAAACCAGCGTCATGCACGCAAACGCCTAGTTTCAATAAGTTGAAGTCGCCAGCTATCTCCGCCAAGGCGCCGATCGCGTATTGTTTACTCTGCTTGTACTAACACCTATCTTGACACACTTAGCAGGTACGGTGCTGACATTACGGCAGAGTATCACGGTGAAAGTGTCCTGAGTCCGGGTTACCTGGAGTCGCCAGTTTAGAGAGAATTAGGTATTATGGACGGTTGTAAATTACCGACTGCTCTGCATTTTTCTGCGCTGGCATCATGATCGGAGTAGCAGTGCGTGCGGTCAGCACTCCCTGCAGAATGAGGAAGCACAGGCAGAAGTGTGTAGGGATTAGTATTTCTGTAATTCCCCACATTGCACAGTCCAGAAGTGTGATTCAGACTCCTGTGTAAATGGAGGCAATTCCTAAAAAGTGGTTAAGGTTCGCACACTATGAATCACATCAACGTTCCCGCTTCCCGTGTGCGGGAAAGGGTCCGGGAGGCCAGGTAGGGATCTTTGTAGAGTTTTGCCAGTTGCTTTTTGGTCACAGGACCGAGACTCTTCCTGCACATGCTCAGAGTCCCTGTTAATGGCCTGTGACTCAGTATTCCTGTGTTGCCTTGCTTGATGTTTCCCCACACAGTGATGCTTCGTGGCCTTCTGACTTGAAGAGGAGAGTGGGAGTTACCATTCCTGCCTAGACCTCTTCAAATCCTAAGGATATACCTTTTGACGACCCCCCCCACCCCCACCAACACCAACACCAACACTGGAACCAGCATTTCTTGTATTGAAAAGAGGCTGAAAATGGAGAGGACTTCTGGACCTTGATGTGGGGTGAGGCAGGTGCAGGTGGGATGATGGCGAGCCAAGGAAACGGATGTGTTTTTTTTACCCTTATTTTTTTCCTGTAGTATTTTTCCTTTGTATCACTAGAGGGTCGAACTCTTTCTGTTTAACTTTTTTGCCAAACTAAACTTTTTTTTTTCTTCTTTTTTTGGCCTTGAGAATAAAAAATGCTGATCTGCCCCCTAAGGCCGGCATAGTGGGCAACTTTACCTCTGTTCCCTGCTAACACTCCCCCCCCCCCCCCGGGGCTCTGAATGGTTGCCTTTGAGATTGCTGCCGTGACCCAGAGGGGTCAGTGATGGGGAGCACCTCAGGAAGGGGGGGTGGGGGTCTGCGGGGGCTCAGGTGTATGCCATGGAAAGTGAGCAGGCGGAAACAGGGTGGATGTGGTGGTGGGGTGACTGACAGGGAGGTGGACACTGTCTCACATCACTCCCTGACCCCGCCCCCGGCTCCGTCCATTTACCATGAGAAACAGCGGAGGGAGCTGTGCGCTCTGCACGCACTCAATAACGTCTTCCAGGACGGTGGAGCCTTCAGCAAGGACACTCTGCAAGACATTTTCCAGAGGTAAGCGTGGGAGGGACTTTTAATGGGGAGTGTCCCAAACGAGCTTGATGGGCCGAATGGCCTCCCCTCATTTTGTAAATTACTTATGTTCTTAATTAACATGTTGTATATTTACATGTCTGGGCATTGTGAGCTCGAACCTAAGCCCTTTGGTGTGGGGGGGGGCAACCTGGTTGTAGGCTCCATATCACCTCTGTTTGCAGCCTTGCGATCATATGGCGCTGGCCCCCAGCTCGCTGGTTTCAGCATCTGAGTTGACTTGTCTGTACTGTGGCCTCCAGTCCCTCAGTGGACCACCATGGGAGTGCCCCCCCCCCCCCCCGGACCCACTGCTGTTACAAAGGGCCTTTGTCCACCCTTCTGTACCAGTGTTAGTGGGGGTGTGTGGGGGTGTCCTACATGATGGCCAGTTTGTATTTTATATGAATCATGGTCAGTTTGAACCAAGGGCTGCATGTCAGGCTACTGTGTCAGGCTCAGGGTTCACTTTACAATACCCCCCCCCACACCAGGCTCTCTCCCAGCACCCTGGTGACCCCCCACAAGAAGAACGTGCTTGGCAATGGCAACTACGACGTCAATGTCATCATGGCGGCGCTACAGACACGTGGCTTCGAGGCTGTCTGGTGGGACAAGCGCAGGTGACCGGCGTGACGCCGTCTAGCCATGGGGACGCCGTTACCGCCTCTGCCATGTGCCACTTCACCACTGGCACCTGCACATGTGGGATTCACCCACCCCCTACCCATACTCATGCACAGGCTTATAAGAAATGTGACTTTACAGCGTGTTCTGTCAGGTAGCATGAAACTCGGCAAGTTAGCATGTGGCATGTTCTGCCCGTGACTACAAACATATTAGTACCTTTTAAATCCTTCCAGTCGTTGGATGAGATGCATCACAACAGAATAAACACTTTTTTTTCATTTGGATATCTTGGGGCTGTAAATTATTTAATTGATGTTTTCCCACTGTTATTAGAGGGGTGTGATTTTTGAAAGGCATTAACACTGGGGTTGGTCGTCGTGGTCACCTGCTGTGTGTGTCGCTTCAGGGATGTGTGCAGCATTGCCCTGGAGAATGTGACCGGCTTCATCCTGAACGTTCCCTCCAACCTACACTGGGGGCCTCTCCGGCTCCCCCTCAAACGCCAGCACTGGATTGGCGTGCGGGAGGTGGGTGGGGTCTACTACAACCTGGACTCCAAGCTACGCTGCCCCGACCCCATCGGCTCCCCCGAAGAGCTCAGGTACCACCTCCGACCTTAAAGGGGAGCAGATTCTCACCATCTGATTGCCCGTCTGATGGCCCTGATGCAGAGTGACTTGCAGATTTTGCCTATTTGTACAGCTGCATGTTTTCTGTTGGAAACCAGGTTAAGGGACTACATTGAGGCACGCCCCCCTGCACCCCCGGGACATAAACTAGAAAAATCGTGAGCTTGTTTCGTTAATCACCCAGGAAGAGGAGGTTCAAGGGGCCCGTTTAGTGATGCTAGTTTCAGTTTTGCTTTGGTTCGTCTGTTATTACTTGGCGGGTTAGTTAGTTTTATTTTAGGGGGTGTAATTCAACATTCTGTCCCAGGGGTGCCCATAACCTGGCTTGGACAAGTGGCTCTGGGAAAATGAGACATTGATTGGATTGGCCACATACCGGCCGTGCATTTTCAGGCTGGTCCTGTGTTTACTGGACACATTCTTATAAACAGTGTTTATAAAAAGTTGTTTAATTATTAGATGTTAATGAATAACCGCCATGAAGCTTTATAATTCTGGTTTGTGAATTAACGAGCATTACTAGGTGGCATGTACACTCTCATTGCACCTGGGTGAACCTATGATCGCTGGTCCATATCCAACTGTGATCTGGCTGGTAGGATGTAGCAGCAGTTGTGATGCATATTAGGCAGTAAAGTCATGTGACCTGTGATTGGCTGATATAAAGATGCTTATACTCTGTGCTGTGCACTTGGGTGAGAGGAAAGGGGTTAGTTGTTAATGATTGAAGGTGACCGATCTCCAACACCAAAAATATACACCAGTAACCAAAAATGGAGGTCAATATCAGCAGACCAGGCCAATAGCCAGAAATCAGGAGGGTTAGGGTTAGGTGCCTACCAGGAGGGGGCAGAAATGCATTTTGAGGGGAGTTTAAACTTGTAATCTTTTTATGTGGCTATGTTCCTGGGGCAGACTTTTTAAAGGATACTCTAGTTATGAGTGATAGATCGACAACTAGAAATAGGAATGCAGTAATGGTGATCTGATTTCTTATATAATTTTTTTTTTAAGGAATGGGAGAATCTGTCTGAAATGTATGGATGGGCACTGCTCTGTCTACGTGTTCCTGGGGCCAACCAACCTCTTTAGAAAAACATTAGTCTAATAATTCATGGTGAAAAAACCCGTTAAAATCCAGGAGCACCTGGTCTGCTGAGAAGGGACTGGGGCCTCAGTTAGACCCCTGGTGAGAGAAGTTTGGATCTCTGTATCGGTTCTGGATTTGTGAATAATGAAGCCGGCTTAGGCTGAAATTTGAGGCATCCTTTAACCGTTTACCACGTTTTAAGTTCTCAAACTCTCTTCTCAGATCTGTTAAACCAGGGGTCTCCAACTCCGGTCCTGGAGAGCTACTATCCAGTAGGTTTTCTATCATACCCGGCTTCTGATGAGCCACACCTGTTCTCAGGTAAATACCAGGAGCAGGTGTGGCTCATCAGAAGCAAAGTGGGACGGAAAACCTACTGGATAGTAGCTCTCCAGGACTTGAGTTGGAGACCCCTGTGTTAAACTGTTTCTGCACTGGCTGCTGGGGAGGTGGACGGGCATGGTTTTGACGCTCTGAATCTTAAGCCTTTATGTAAACCTCGCACAAACAAATCAGAGCTGAAACCAGGCTGGCTGTCCTCTCACTATACCCGCCTAAACCCCCCCCCCCCCTCCCTGGCCGGACAGGAAATTCTTACGACATCAGCTGCGAGGGAAGAACTGCGAACTCTTGTTGGTCGTACCCGAGGAGGTCGAAGCTCGCCAGACGTGGAGGACGGACACAAGCTGAGGGTCTCCGTGGCGACCGGTCAGTCAGCGCGTGGACTCGGAGGAGGGGGGTTTGAGGGGCCGGCGGATGCACGTCAGTCAGACCCCCGCCCAAGACTGTTGGAGAGAAACCCTATGGATGAGTTTGTGGGTCCAGCATCTGAGACATGGATCATATGAACATTATTGGGTCTTTGAAAGCATATTGTATTTATTTTTATGATTTCATTTTTTTTCCTCCTGCCATTGTTGGTCTTTTGAAAATGGGAATGCAGCAATGTCTCTTACGACTTCATGCTGTTTGCAGTTGTGTAGCTTATCTTCCTCCCACACATGCGTATATCTTTGCTTTTTTTAAAAAATCTTCATTTCCTTTCAGCCCCCCCAGCCACATCTCTTGTGTCCACCCGTGTGTTCATGTGAGGCCTTCCCCTTGTATGTAATCGGCACGTTCGCTGCAGCTCCGGCATGTCTCCACGGAAACCAGCACGGACGCGGCGTTGCCAGGACGCGGGCTCCAAACTTCTGCAAACTGACAGTGTGTCTGTTTCTTTGAAACGTATTCCAATTTAAAATGTTTTTTTTTTTCTGCTTTTGAGGATCTGAGGGAAAAATCAGGTTCCTGAAGGGAAATGACAACCTGTACCATTTAATTTTGACTGAACTTTGCAGTAAAGCAGGGGGTCTCCAACTTCCATCCTGGGGAGCCCCAGCCCTGCACATTTTTGGGTTGCCCCTCATTTAACACACCTGATTCAACTCCTCTGCTAATTACCACCCATTTCTTGAGTTGAATCAGGTGTGGTGGAACAGGGAACGAACCAAGCTGTGCAGGGCTGGGGTTCTCCGGGATGGAAGTTGGAGACCTCTGTAGTACAGGGATATGCTGCAGTTTTGCTACCCTCACATTGCGCACCCCTGCCTGGGGTTGATTTCTAATGACTAACCAGCACAGCGCTGTTTGTGGGTGGAGCCAGTTAGCAGTTCTGAGGCTGCGATGGCCACTCTTACCCAGCATGCCCTGTGGGATACGCTCAGCCCCCCCACCCCCCAGGTGCTGCACACTCGCCTCTCAGCACAGTCTCAGAGAGGCTGTGATTGCGTTTGTTGGTAACTGTAATTTAACACACTTGGTGTGTTTGATTGTGTGATCTGGGAAACACTATATCATAACACCCCCCTTTAATCTGGGGTCTTATGACAGAAATTAGGTTAATGTACTGTGAGACATGTGTCCAACTGAAGAGACTTTGTATTTTGCTGGAGATTGATTAATACTAAGCACTTGATGGCTGGAAATGTAATATTCTACTATTCAAGTGTATCAGCAGCACTACAAGAGAATATTTGCGGGGGCTGTAAAGCCAGTTCTGTGTTAGTGGCGAGGTATGACCAGAACCTCCCTTAATATGTCCTCTTTCCCAGGGACAGGATCAGGAACTAATGTGCAACTAATATACAGTGTTTTATTAGTTTGCACATCAACACAGGTAACCATAAGATTGGACGGGTATGATTAAAATGTGAGTACAGAGTACAGAGGACCAAAAGGAGCATAACCCTGAGGACTGATGGAAAACCGGATCTCTCTGAAAGTTTTGTGGCTCAAAGTGGATGCTATTCAGAACGACGAGTGGTTGTGGAGAATCTGTATATATGATGTAAAATTCACAATCAGGGACAGCCTTAACACCAGTAGATATTTAACTGCATACTTTATTGGTTGCATGTAGTGCATAAAAGTACGTAAGTAGAGATTTCTTTACCCACGAACCATGGTGCATTGAAATGGGCTGAGCACGTGTTACTTATGCTTTATTTCATTTTTTTATTTTTGGCTAAGACAATCCGTCCAGCCCATTCTCTGAGACTGTCCTCCTCTTCTACTTGGAGTACAAAAGGTGTTTGTTATTGTTTTCTCCCAAAAAATAATAAAATTTAATGACTGAATTGTACAGCGTGTTGAAAGTGGTCGGACGAAATACGTATGGTTTCACTATGAAAGTCTTATTGTCCGAGTGTTCTTTTAATACATAATTATCATGTAAGTGTGTGTGTATATATATATATATATATTGTTTATAATATGTGTGTGTGTGTGTGTGTGTGTGTGTATATATATATAAAAAAGTCTGTGGACACAGGAGGATGCGCTACTTGGGAGCGCAGCAGCGCGGCGTTGCACGGCCACTCACTGCGTGCGCGAACTCGAGCGCTTTGGGGCGCGCTTCGCTAACAGGGACGAGCCAGTCGGGCTCGCTGCGTCGCAGCTCATAAAACTCAAGGAAACGTGTTTTTTTTTAACCTCGGAAGGGGTTATTATCAGAGAGTACGGATAAGCTGGTACCATCAGCCAGCCGCCTGATCGGGAACCGGCCGTGCATTTTCGGTTTTTTGGTGGAGGAAATCGGGGGAGTATCCAGACAAGCTTGCTGCGCGCCTGACCTGAGATAGCAGATAAGTGATGGAACTGTCATCTATAGGCGATCAGGTGTTTGCTGTGGAGTCTATCACTAAGAAGAGGGTTAGGAAGGTAAGACGTAGGGGGATTAACTTCATCTTCATTCTAATGTGTTTAAGAAAGCACGCGTCCTCGTGTGGCACATTTAGGCATAGTTTCTGTATCGCTGTCTTAAGTAATGTAGGAAAATAACGCCATGTCGGTCGAGCTTTTTGAATGCAATGTTGCAAACTTAGCGATTGCGGAAACCGCTGCCTAACTTTGGATGTGACATGAGAGCATGTTTAAACGCGAACAGGGGAGTGTCACTTAAAGTTGCATGGTCGGTGTGTGTCATTGTCACAGGCATGTCGTGAAAGCATCGGGGCGGTCATAGGGGCTGTGGGTGAAATCGGAGCTCTGGCTTTCTCCGCCTCCTCCGCAGGTTGCACGGCTGACTATGACTCATGTGCAGGAGCTACGCAGTTTAATATTCGTACTCATAGGAAACGGAGCGACTAAGTGGAGGAGGAGGGCTGGACGCAGCCTTAATATGAATCATTACGTCAATGTTATACGGTTCATGTACCACACGGCGCATTCGAATCGCTGGCTTGCATAACTACAAGGGTGATGTCGAGCAAACGCTATCGGCTCCCCCTGTGCCAAGAATTTAGTTACCAACGGCCCACAACCTAAAATATAAGCGCATCCTGGAATTGCAGAACGCTTAGGAAACGGCGATCATCCTTTTCCTGATGCTCCGTGTGATGATGACGTTTTCCAAGCATCCCTCACCTTCTCTTAGGGGCACCCCTGGGTGGTAGTAGTAGTAGTAGTAGTAGTAGTAGTAAATAATAATAACAACAAAAATAATCATGATAATAATAATAGCATTTTCATTCGAAAATTAGCTTTTGAAGTCGGAAATATTAATCATTAAACGTAAGTAATAAAGCAACAAGGTAATTTTAATTAACGTGACGTGAGATGTTCGTTTTTATTTCAGTTTCTGTGGGACTCCTAACATGAGGAAGTTTTCGCTGCTCCCAAGGAAAGTTTCCAGTATGTTCTTGGCCACCAGGGGTTATTGGGTTAGTGGTCATCAGTCGCTACCGAGAGTATGTAGGAACTCATAACTGTCAAACACGGGCTCTAGATCTAACGCCAGTCCATCTGAGAGCATTTGTAACGCCCACCCGGCAGGGTCGCCATAGTGGTTCTCTGTGTTGTTCACGTTTTGAGGTCGGATGCTAGATATATCTTAGAAAAATTAACAGCATGCATGAATTCTATAACGGGTACTCAGCTGTTTTTCAGATGTTTGTCGTTCCATCAACGGCATAAAGCCACGGTCCACTGCCCCAGGAAGGTCCTGGCTAGATTTAGCTGGCCGACGCATGTTTGATCGGGGGGGATTAATCGATGGCGCGGTTCGGATTAAATTATTTTTCGATCCGGATGCTGACCGTGGTTCGTCATTTGAGTTCCCCTCTTCTTTAGGTTTTCTTTTGGGCTTAACGATCAAGTTTCCTCCCTTGTGCAGTTCAAAAACCTTAACACTAACCTTGAAATCAGTACACTGATCACATGATACATTTACTACAACATGACGGTCCGCCCGAACCTCTGATTGCCTTGTTTATCATAGTAGGAAGTGGCTATCTAGGTCACAGGTGGCTTAATGGTTGAACTATAGACAATTAGTTGCCGGTTATAGCTCCGGAGGAGGAGCTGCTGTGAAACTGAATTGAACACATGCAGGTGTGGTAGTAGCTGGCTGTGGATAAAAGCTTCAGATAAATAACTTCAGAACTGTAGGTAGAATACTCCTGGGGCAGCCAGCTTATCAACGCTAAATCTGTACCCTTGTTTGTAAGAAATATAGCTCTTCCAGATCCTCTGGAATTTAGAGAATTTCTCGGATCAGAGACGATACACTTATTATTACTAAGCAACACTTGAAAGTGCTATAATGCAACATGCTGCTGTATGTGACTACTGTCCAACTTCATGATGCATATTTTTATCTCAAAGCATTATTTTTGTATTATTTCACTATGCCCTGGATAAGAGCCTGTGTTGTATGAATAAATGTAAGCTGTAAAAAAAAAAAAAAAAAGCTCTAACACATTCCCACTGGTCTCTTTCTGTTTCAGGGGAATGTGGAGTACTTGCTGAAATGGCAGGGATGGCCCTCCAAGTAAGTAGTAGAACGTTACATCTCTGTAATTAAACCCTCCAGCTGTTAGTAAGCAATGACCGGAACGCCCTCACACATACCCCTGTCTGACCTTACAGGTACAGCACCTGGGAGCCTGAGGACCACATTCTTGACCCACATCTGGTTCTGGCTTACGAGGAAAAGTAGGTCACAGCAAGGGCTCTAATTTACGGTCATTTTCACACACACGCCCTCGAGGCTGTGTACTGATTTGCTCTCCCTCTATGCCAGGGAGGAGAAGGACAGGGCACTGGCTTATCGGAGACGAGGACTGAGACCCAGAAAACTCCTTGTGCAGGTACAGTGCTGGCTTTTCTGTGGGGCTCAGATGGTCACCTTGCCTGGTCCATCAGGAAACGATGGCCTTGCAGTAGCCACACCCCCACCTCCCCCTCACTGGGGATCTGCTAGTGTCCGTCAGCTGCCGTGGACCGTCCGCTTTTCCCTCTCCTGCAGAACATCTATTCCATGGACCTGCGGAGTTCTCACAGAGCCCCAGTGAAGCCCCCGCCCCGCCTGCGGCTGTCTCTCTCGCGATCGCTGGGGGCTGAGCTAGAAGCCAGGGGACGGGACCGTGCCGCCGGGGGGGGCAGCAGCCGGCAGAAGAAAAGGAGGCGCCTGTCTCAGGGCTCGTCCACTGAGCGGCCTGCCCGGGCGGCCGTGCGGGACTTTCCGAACCAGGACTGGCGAGCCGAGGATGAGAAGAAAGAGACAGTCGTGGATGCCGAGAAGCAGGCAGACAGTGTGCCCATAAGCAGTAAGTATGTGCAGATCAGGCCTAGCATTTGCCAGAAGGCTGGGGGACAGTTGATGCTCTGATCATGTCCCTTTCCCTTCCAGAGTCCGACCTTCCAGACCCAGGGAAAGAGGAACAGAACCCCCTAAGTAAGCTAGTCCAGGAGGAGCTGACAGGCCTGGGGGTTGTCCATGACCAGCCAGGGGGTCCCACTCCTGTCTCAGAGCTAAAGCAGGAGGCCACCACTCATGGGTCCCCTAGCGACTCCTCTGGGTCAGGGGCTGTTACGGCAGGAGCCACAGAAGGCCAGGAGGCCAATGACCCAGATGCCTCTGTGCAGGAGCAAGGGGTCAGGACCCCAACTGATGGGCTGGCAGAGGACAGGGACCTGGGGACCGAGTTGAGGGCTGCTGCTGACCCTCCCAGGACCAACGGCTGCATTTTGGTGACGGGGCCTGGCGAGGCAGCTTTCAACGGGGCCCCTTTGTCTGACCCAACAGTGCCGACTCCCAGCGGTCAACCAGAGAGCTCCAAACCCCCCGAGGAAACGCAGAGCAGTGCTGTTTCCGGCACGCAGGAGAGCCGTATGACCCCTACAGTGGAGCCAAAGGAGGAAACTACTAGTGACATCACGGGGGGAGCCGCTCCTGGGGCAGAGAGACAGGAGGGGGCACCGTCCGCGGGTGAGCCGGGGACAGTCATAGTCACTGACATCACCATCAACTCCCTGACCGTCACTTTCAGGGAGGCTTTGGCAGCGAAGGGCTTTTTCAGGGCCTGGGGCTCGGAGCTGAAATGCGGGGGGGGGGAGTAGCTAACACAGCACTGGAGATGATGTCGCACGGCCTGCCTGCTCTTTCCACACCAGAGTATAACTGCCCCCCCTTCTGTTATCTGCATTGCTGTGACTTTCATCTGTTCATCCCTTCTGCTGTTTGTTCTGTGATCATCTCTTCTGTTCTGCTTTATACCCCCTGACATTTGACCCCCATTTCCAGTTCCCTACATTCTGAACCCACAGACAAGCGAGCTTGAACCAGACAGGGCTAAACATGGCATATGTTACTGCATGGAAACCCCATTTTATACTAGGGTCATATATCGTCTCTGTAATTTTCAGGCATGTTACGCAGTAAACAACAGGTTACTGGGTGGCCAGGAATACTGCAAGATGGCTGCCTTTAGAAACCAAATTCATTTTAAAGTTTGTTTTATTTAGTTTTAATTATGGTGCAGTTTAAAAAGATGAAATACTGATATTTATATTTTTGTTTAATCAACTTAAAGACAAACACACATACTCTTGACTTACATCATGTGTTGTGGGGAAAGATCCACTAATGGGAGAAATTTGTTTTTCCTAGGAGCAGGCTGACTGCTTGTGACTAACAGTGAGAATCGTCTGGCAAAAATAATTTATGTTTCTGCAAATTGCAGTATTTATAGTTGACCACTGGAGGGCACTCTGACAAAGCTATTTGTTCTTTGCTTGAATTTACTCCCATTGTGGACCACGATGCACCTTTACTGTGATTCTAGGGCATGTGGCATAGAAGCAGATCTATAATATATGTTTACGCCATTCATTATCATTTATGGAAAAGGATGTAGCGTCTGTCATAAGCTAGATGGCTTATTATTAGATGGTTGTAGTGGATTTCAGTGAAAACAGTTACAAAATCCTGTAAAATGTTGAGTGATGTAAACATTTTATATACGTATGCATGTAGGAAGTTTGATACTGGCAAAGAATGAAATGAAATCAAAGTCACCAATACTATATGCATTAATAACAGTGTGCTTCAAAGCAGTCTGAACAGTTGACAGTTACTTATATCAGATGCTCGTTTGCGGATTCCTTGTTTGTGTTTAAACCAAAAAACAGAAAGAATAGTAAATTTAAACATGTCGATTTGTTGCTGAATTTTGGAGTTTGATGTTACAGAGGTAATGAAAGAAATAGTAATTATTTTGGTATTTTTTGTTATCTAAATTTCCAGCAAAGAAAACATCTAAATGTAAATGACTTATTTTTGTAGATGAACTGTGTATTTGTTAGTAGGTGGTTACTTAACCTGTCCTTGTATAATGAGAGATTTGCATGTGCAAAATAACTGTTTCAGTGCTTGTGTTTGTTGTACATTAGTGTAAACTAAATACATACATCCATATATATTATATATGTGTGTATGTGTATATACTGTATAAGGAAATTTATAACTTATCAGGCACTTTTATTAAAAGCACTGAGCAAAGGAAATCTAAAGTTCCGTTTCAGTGGTGCACACTTCTTTGGAGTACAATCTCAGCATGTGTTCTGTGCAGTGTTAATGTGTGCAAGCATTTTCACCACTAGCAGGAACCGTGTGTGCGATTTTGGGGAATTATAGTACTATATATAGTAATATGATATGATTATGATCCCTGTGTTTCCATGTTAAAAATGGACATACATCGTGTGCTGTTCGCTGACCATATACAGGTGTTTCACAACAGGTGTGCTGAGTTTTGTCCTTATTTCTTCAAGGAGTGTGGTGTAGTGAAAACCATTGAAAGTATAGGCTACCTTAAGGATGGATGCAGTCAGACTGTGCTTCACCTACAGGTAAGGTCTAGGCATCAGACCTGGGAGTCCCTTACCAGATGCTGTGCTTTTTCCCTTACATGTAACCGTGAGAGTGAATATTAAAGTGGGTCTGCCTGTAAGAGGCTCCTTCCGCCCCTTGCCTCCTGCAGTCTGAAAACGTCCACCAGATGGACTCCAAATCACCCTAATGGGTGATTGATGCAGTCACATTACGGGGAAAAAAAATCAACGTTTTTATCAACACGCACACCTTTCACACACAAACACCACACACACTATTACCGATGGATAATTCACCTTAGCATGTTTTTGGGCTGTGGGGGGATACCAGAGAATCTGGAGGAAGCCCCTTGAAGACATGGGGAAAATATGTAAGTGTGAAAAACTGTTTTTGCCTGTCCTGTGGTGCAGGGGCGTAGCTAAGGGTGGGCTCCAGCATTGAGGAAGGACCTGCAGTGAGGCAGTGAACCACAGTGGAGGCGTGACCCACCATATGATGCCTCTTGCTACCACTCTGGGGAGGTCGGGCATTTTGCTCGAGATTGCCCAGCCCCGTCGTAGCCTGCACCGACCCCAAACAAGCCGTCACCCCTTCATCATCAAGCTGGCCGGCAGTGTCACAATGGTGGAGTGTATGTGGACTGCATTATGTAGAGAACTCACTGCTAATCCCTGGTGGTTAGTGGGTCTACCATCACCCTCATTCGCCTGAGTCCCCTCCCCAGCACAAACCAGCTGGCCTCACCATGGTGGGGGGCGACTGCTGAGCAGTGACACTGGTTGAGGACTTTGCTGGATGGGCATTTGGACATCTTTGCTGCTCAGGATGACAAGTGCCACCCCACCACGCTCATCTAGCACCTTTTTGATGCTTGAGATGCCCAGCCTTTCCAGCTGTGTGTGCGCATGGAGTGTCAAGCAGCGGAGCAGAAAATTTGTGATATGGCAGCAGCGGGTTTCAGCGAACCTTTGGACAGTCCATGGGCTGTGTGCTGATAGTCCTGGTCTGGAAGAAGGATGGGTCATGGCACTTCTGTATGGAATTCCTCCGTCTGTGACTCATACCCCCTGCCATGGATTGACGATGCACTGGATGACATTGCCAGGTTAACATGGTTTATCTCCTTAGACCTCCAAAGGGGCTACTGGCAGGTCCAACCTATAGAGTCTGACTGCAGATCCACTGTGAGGCATATCCACTGACACATAGGAAGTGCACTGTGTGACCAGAAATGATGTTACTCTGGATACACTGTGAGGTGCATCCACTGACAGATAGGAAGTATGCTGTGTGATTGAAAATGACATCACTCTGAATCCACTGTAAAGCACATCCGCTGACAGACTGCTGCACCCCAAAACAATACTTTGAGGAATACTTTCAAGATGGCAGCGCACAAGTGTGCAGTGGCTCCTAGCTCTCCTGTTTGGTGCCTTGGTTTACTAGTTTTGTTGTGTATTTAATACATTGACAATAAAGCTTCTATTCTGTTCTATTCTATTCTATTCACATGGCTGCCCCTCACAGCCAGCTTGCTCTCATCTACAGCAAGAAAGTTGTGGGAAGCAAAAAGAGAAACTCCCCACAGGCATCAACAAAGTATCAAGTATTAATAGTTCTTCACAAAGTTTGCTATGTTTAGAAGTAGAACGGTTTTTGTTCACTATGTTTAGAAGTGTGGGAATAATTTTTGTTTGCTATTGTTTTGCTCATACAAAACACAATTTGTGTTTAGGTTGTTACTGCTTTCAGTTAATAGTTTAATTCACTATCATGTGCAGATTGCTGTGTTCTGTTGAATAGTGTTGTCATATCACTCACACATACATATATATACAGTAAGTGTAAGGTAGCCTGAATCAAATCACCGACTGTTTTGCCGAATTGTATTCAATTAATCTTCCTCATTCAAAAGACCATAACATTGGTTCATGCCGTGCGTAAAAAGGGGATAATTGGATAGACACTGTATCAGAAAACGTAGTGTACTACAGGTGTTAAGTCAATGTGGAAGACTCTTTGTGTGTGTGTGCGTGCGTGCGTGCGCGCGCGTGTGTGACAAAAGGTGTTCAATGTATCTATTAATTCCCACTTAATGTTTTAATCACACTTACAGGAAAAATCGTTACTAAAATGCCCCTGACAATTCCAAATTTTTAATTGCAGCAAGCTGGCAAAACGATTTAGCCCAGGACACTGGAAAATACTGGAAAAATATGGTAAAGTGGATTTCAACATTTTCTATTGTTGCATTCATATTGGAATTTTTAACATATTGTTTTTTTACACAATGTTCCTCAACAGATTGGGTCTCTGGACTGTGTCATGTTCATGTTGATGGTAAGATAGACCACCTTAAATGGTTGGAGATAACTTGTGATATATATTGAAAGTATTAAAGTTCTTGCCCCTTTCCTTTTTATCAGTATGCACTTTACATGGCCTTGGGGGAGGGGGGCATTCCACGGTACTGCTGTAAGTATTTCACTAATAAGATTCTTTGCAATGCAGGAGAATGTTGCATAGTCTTCTATACAATGAAAAGTGTCCTTTCAAACATTTTGACTGCATGGTTTTTATATTGAGTTTGATATGCTAAAGATCAGGAGATGGTGGTGCCTCATTCTGATTAACAATGGTCTGGAAAAATATGTATGAAACAGGTTTTGTTCATATGTAGAATGGGCGAAGACCAGCAGGGAGACATATACAGTATATTACTATATGGAGTATATACAGTATTACTATATGGAGTACCTGTGGTGCCTCTGGGAGCATCTGAGGGGCACATGCAAGCTGTCCTGACAGCACCAAGGTGCTGCAGAAGCGGGCCTACAATGCACGCAGCCATTGGTGGGATTTTAACATTGGGGACCTTGTTTTGGAAATGTCCTGGGTGTGATGTTAAACTGCAAGCGGTCCTCCAACTTACAGGGGAACAATTTTTGGGGGTAAAACAACTCACGGCTGCTCGATTTAAACAAGATACTCTTCAGCTAGATACTCTTTGGGGTGCTGAGGTGTCGCCTGCTGCATGGCGGCACTCGGGTCCCAGTTTGAGGAGATCCATCTGGGTAGGCATGTGGAACGTCTTGTGTCTTCCTCTGCTTTTGGGGGGAGCTTTGTATACTCTGCGTTTCGGTGGCAGCACTGTCTGACGTACATAAACCGGGGAGTGGTCAGATCTCTGTAGGTGGGTATACCTACTTTTGTCTGGTCGGTCTGACGGCTGATAGAGAGTAGCTGTTGCTGTAGCAGATCGGCTTCTTCCGATGGTGTCTGATGTCACTCCTTTTAACGAGCGTATCATGAGACTCAGGCTAAGGCACTCCTTGAGTGTCTTGTCTGTTGTCTCAGTATATGCTCCGGCCGCAGTGAGTGATATCTCGTTGAGGGAGACATTTTACTCACAACTTCACTTAGTGGTTGAAGGGTGCCCACGAGGCGTCACTCCTCTGGTCATGGGTGACTTCAATGCAACCACTGACACTGTTCCTTGAATTTGCAAAAGGTCAGGGACGACTGCTGACTAATGTGATGTGGGAGACCTTCCATGATTAGACCCTGAAGGTTGTCGAGGGCTGTGTTGGTGTTGCCAGTGTTCCCAGAAGGGGGTTTTTCATCTCACAGGGCACCCTGGATATTATCGAGAGGAGTCGCAGCGCATGACTTGGTGGCAACTCCAGTCTGTACCAGGAACTGAGAAGGATGGCTGTGAGGGCTCTGAGGGCCGATAAGGAGGTGTTTGTTAGATGAATTTGTGAGCAGGTGACAGACCATCTGTGGTCTAGTGACCCACATCCTGCTTACAGAGGAATCGAAGCATTACGCACATCTGAATCTGTTCCTCGTAGACTTGCAGTCAGGGCGGGTGATGGGACGGTCCTTACGGAAGACACTGCAGTTGTGACCCGCTGGGCCGGCTACTTTGAACAGATGTTTAAAGCTGACCCTCCAGCTAGGATGTTGGATGTCTCTGGGAAGTGAATCAGCTGGGGGGAGGGAAGGCAGCAGGGATCTGTGGTATCCGGGGTGAACTTCTCCAGGTTGGTGGTAAGGCTGTCCTCTTGGCTTTGCAAGCAATCTTTTCTTCCATTTGGGGGTCAGGCATCATCATATTGGTAGTGATCTCCAAGCCGTTTTCATGTTAAGGAGGGGCTTGATAACCTAAAACACCAGAAAATGGATTGATAGCTATCAGCAGGTTCACTTAATCTTAAAGAAAAACAGAAGAAAACAATGAACAGAGACATTAAAATGGAAGATTCGGATAAAATACTGCAACCCCGTCACATTCGCGAGAGTGAGGGGTGGAAGATCCCCGCGAAAGTGAGAATTTGCTGATTTAATACATGGGCACCCCTAACCTCCACCCATAGTAGTCTGTTAGCCTAATCGATAACATAAAACGTCTATTTACTAATTTCTAAACAGACAGTGCTGTATTGTACCCTTTGTGTGTTACTGGTCACACAGTGGACATTGTTTTGCCATTTCCCATCTAGACCCTTTTATATAATATACAAACCACCTAAATGATGTCCCTGTATGTACCAAGTTACTACTCTAGGCAGTGGGAGCATTACGTTTTGGGCCCGTTATTAAAAATGCAATATTTAGAGCACTGAAAAGTTTAAAAGTCATTGCAAAAAACGCAAGATTCCACGATCATTTGTGTATTATGTGATCTGAATCAGTTCAGCAGTGTTTTTGGCTAACGCAATATGGAAAGCTAAATTGTCTTCTAATAGTATAAGGCTTAGTTGTCATAACTTGATTTTAACTAGAGTGACTAAAGTAATATTCTAACTAGTGTTGTTTTCGTCAACGAAATTTTTGACGAAATATCTTCGTCAACGAACCTTTTTGACGTGATGGAGACGAGACGAGACGCAACGGAAATGCTGGTCATGCGACGATAACTATAACGAAATATATCATGTAATATTGTTGACGAATAAAAACGAGACTAAATTTGGCTTACAAAATAAAAACTATACTAAAATGTCTCTTCATTTTCGTTGACGAGAGCGAGACGAGACGTTATTTCCTCTCGTTTAATCGCGTTATTATTATTATGCAAAATTTCTGTTTCCTGTGTCTCCCATTTGGGCGCACAGATGGCGTCACTTCCTCAATACGTATTCGCGGCATTTTTTAGTTTTCAGTGGTGCGTTAGCAGATGGCTGGGAGGAAAAGACGAAGCGACCTTTGGACGCACTTTCTATACATCGAAGTCGAAAAAAAAACAGAATGTCTGGTAGAAAAAAATGGGAAGAAATGCGGCCACAGAATGTCTGGAAAAAACACTACAAATCTCAAACGACATCTTAAGGCATTCCACAATGACATTCAGGTAGGTAAAGACATTAACGTAACGTTACTTTCTATTTTAGAAAGCTCGTGCCAATTGTGGTTAACATGTTATCGTTAGCAATAGATGTTAGCCTGCTAGCTTTAGTCGTTTTGGAGAAAATTATATTTCATAAGCATGGACACTTGGCGATCTGTACAAAACATCCTTTCTGATAAGATGTCTGATAAGAATACGTGGGTAAAGGGAACATTTTGAAGCTATGTAGGCATTTTAACAAGCTAAAGCTAAGTAGCAAACTGAGAAGGACACCTCAGTTGTCTTGAATCCTGGCGATCTAAACGTTCAAGCTTTCATTACTGCGTGACTAGATATATGTCTAAAGGGGTAGTGTTTGAAACATTGAAAGAGCGTTTTTCGTAACGACGTGTGTGGGTCTGGGTAGTGACCTTCCACGTAGAGGTATATTCTCTGGCTACAGCTCATGTAAATACCTGCTAATTGTGAAAAAATGTTCTTGTGGAAAGGATGTTGGTGAATGATTCAAAGCATGATGCATTTTGATTGGCATCCCTTATAGTCTTGTGAGGCATTTTTTTTTAAAACAATTGTAGCTGAAAATAAACAGCCAAATTACAACCAATAGTTTCAGTCATTGAGGGCAAAATAGGCCTAATAGCAAGGATTTATGCTACTATTTACTATTTAGTTAGATTTTCCGGAGGCTGCATCTATCCTGTATCTATTGTATCTATTCCTGTGCTAGTTTCCAGAAACAGCTTCAGTAAAGAAGGTCCTATGCAAGAAGATGGACAAGCCAACTATTGCTCAGGATTTCTTTGCCACAAGGAGGTACAACGACAATTCTTCAGAGCAACGAACCAAAGAGGAGGGGATAGCGCAGTGGATAGGCCGCACAGGACTCCCAGCACACATGGTCGAAGATGAGGAGTTCATCGCCATGATGGCAAAAATGGACAAAAAGTTTAAAGTGCCAAAAAGACGTAAAGTTTTAAACTTGATTGAAAAAATGTACAATGAAGAGAAAGAAAAGATCAAACAAAACCTGGCCACAGCACGCAGAATAACTACAGGGTTGGATATTTGGACTAAAAAGGGGCTTACAGCTTCCTTCCTGGCAGTCAGTGCCTGTTACTTCAACCCTGAGAAGAACAAGCCTGAACACAAACTCCTGAACTTGAAGGAGATGGTTCACCCTCACACCGCAGAGTCGATTAGTACACTTGTGGAGGAGTCAATGCAAGAATGGGGGATCCCCAGAGAGAAGGTCCTTACAACGATTACTGACAATGGCAGCAATATGGTGGCTTCATTCCACACACATGCAGAAGTTGCCACAACTTCTGAAGAGGAATCAGAGATGGAGGAACAAGACAATGGCAATGATGATGATGACGAGCATCAGGAAGGGGAGGGTGACAGGTCTGTGTATGAAACTATGCTATTAATTAATTCAACATTTATGTAACTGGTCATATTTTCTATGAATAAAAAAATAATTCCATAGAAAGTTAAAAGATAAAAAATTATGCCTTTAATTCATTCAGCATTTATGAAACTGGTCATGATATATTTTCATATACATAAAAACTAAAAGGTTCATATAAGTTAACTAGTAGAACTGTTGGTTCAATAATGTAAGGGCTAAAATGGTCAAATATTTGTTTTTTTTGTTTTTTTTTTTTTATTTAAATATATTTCCATGTAGGTATGACTATGGAGCCATAGAGAGGACCCCATGTGTGGTTCACACAGTACAGCTTGTAGTGAACATGGTCCAGAAGGAACCCTCAATCCGAAGGCTGTTGGACAAAGTGAGGCACTTGGTGAACAAGTTTAGGAAGTCATCTGTCGCCACAGAGCAGCTATTGCAGAAGTGTGCTCTGGTTCTAGTAAAAGACTGTCCCACCAGGTGGTCAAGTCTCTTTGCTATGATTTCGCGCTGTCTTGAAGTCAAGGAGCACCTCACAGCTGTGGTTGAGTACATGGGCTGGGACAACCTGCAGCCCAGTGAATGGCAGAAGATCGGGATGCTGAGAGAGCTGCTTCTGCCATTTGCGGAGCACACTAAGTCACTTGAAAGTGACACTCAATCACTTTCCCTTGTTGTGCCAGCACTCCTTGATCTAAAAAACCACCTATCAGAGTTCTCTCTTGCACATGGGAGAATCTACAAAGATGCTGCTGCTCTGGCTCAGAAGATGCTTTCCAGCATGGATAGGCGCTTTAGTGTGTTTCTTGACACAACAGCTGACAACTTTTCACCACTTCCTGCAGCAGCATGCTTTGTGGACCCTTGTGTAGCTGAAACCCTTCTGGAAAATGATGACAATGAAGTACAGAATGTTGTCAGAAAGGCAGAGGACTACATTGCTCATCTTGTGCCACGAAGAGTTCACGTACGAGAAGAGCATTTTACAGATGATGAGCAAGTCGCAAATGAGGGTACAGAGGAGCCAGAGTCAACCCCTGCAAAACGGTGTAGATTTAAGTTCTTCAGTTCCAATCGTCCATCGAGGCCCAAGGCAGCCAAGACAATAAACATTAGGCAGGAGATTTTAAAGTATAAAGAGGGACTGTCTGCTACTAGTGCTGAGGTTGAAGAATCTGGCATTGAATATTGGTTAAGTCAATGTTGTTCCACTGTGTTTCCAACACTGAAACCTCTAGCTTTGGACCTCCTGGCCATGCCAGCCTCTCAGGCATTTACAGAAAGGGTCTTTAGTGTAACTGGTTACCTCTCTTGTGGCCGCAGGAACAGGGCTAGAACCATTTTGGAAAGAAGCGCTTTCCTCAAAGTAAACAAGCCTAAGTAGTAGTTAATGACTAGCCTGAACAGACATGCAAGAAGCATGCATGTACTTTACTGTATACGCACACTGAGGGTGAAGACTTTATGGCAATAGACATACACATTTTCATTTTATTTGCACTTTTTAGTGATGCGATTATTTTGTTTATTTTATTTAAATTTGTGTGTGCTAGGTCGAACATGTTTGGTTGGCAAAATAAATGTTATAAATTCAAATCAGAGCGTCTTCCGTGTCTGGAATGGATGTAGAGTATTCTTGAGTCTATAAGGTAACAATAATATAATAAGAACCTTGTTTTAATTGTGAAATGCGTTTGACTAAAAGAATTTTGTTTTTGTCTATTCTACTAGGTACTTGTACTATATTGACTAGGTAAAATAGAATTGCATTAGTAAAATGAAGAGACTAAAATACAATTTTCATTGACTAAAACTAGACTAAAATGTCATCAGTTTTCGTTGACTAAAACTAGACTAAAATAGCCATGGATAATTCTGACTAAAATATGACTAAAATGCTCGGACTTTTAGTCGACTGAAACTTGACTAGACTAAAATGAGTATGACGTGACTAAGACTAATAATAACTAAAATGACAGCTTGATGCAAAGACTAGACTAAAACTAAAATTAAGACAGGCCGCCAAAAACAACTATAATTCTAACTCAAAAAAAATAGTTTATTTACTAGTAAGAATATGAATTCTAGATATCTGTATAATTACATTTTTACTAGTAAGAATTAGGCCTATCATTTTTTTACTATTAAGAACTGTATTTCTACTAGGAAAAAATTATATTACCGAGATTTATAGCTCAGTTTTCTCTAGTCATATATTACCATTGATTTTTTTCCCTCTCATATCCAAAATTCTATTATTTCTAGTGAGAAGTCATATTGTAGATCTGTAATTCAATTTTGACTAGTAAAGACTCATATTACAGATATCTATATCTTAATTTTGACTAGTCAAAAATCCAGGTCCACATACCCATATTTCAGTTTACTAGTCAAAATATAATTACAGGTATTTATTAATGCAATTAAATTTTAGAGATCTGATGTGACACGTCCAATCCTCCTGTGTGCCACGCCCCCTAATTTACCTTGTGTGTAACCCCGATTGTTATCAACTGTTTCGTGTTATTTCTGAGTAGTCCTGTGTATTTAAGTCCGCGTTCAAGTCTGTTTCCCTAGTCCGGTCATTGACGTTGTTTAATGTGTGTTCCCTGCCTTGTCGTTTTGTGGAATACACCCCTTATTCCTGATGCTACGGCTTCCCGACCCTGATTCCCCGCTCCGTCATCTCCCTGCTTGCTCGCTTGCTCGCCCGACACGCGGTCATTACAATATATCTCGAATGTGAATTTCTTCCAGTAAAAATGTAATTACAGATATCTGAAATGACATTTTTGCTAGTAAAAACTGAATTATGGATATGTGGACCTTGAATTTTTAATAATCAAAATTAAAATGCTACATTGCCATCTTTCAGCAAGCTCCAAAAAACTGTTCATGGGCAACTCACGAATAACCAAAACTGTCAATATTTAATTCACAAATGTGAAAGGGGTTACTGTACAGCAGTGTAATTACTCAGCATTTGGATTGCAACACCAGCCCTCTCATTAGGTGAGTGAGCATGTTATGAAAAAACAAAATGGTATATTTCAACACAGCATACTTGTATTCAAATTTCATGTGTTGCTCGTTGGTTTTGTGTATGTTTTCATGTAATGAAACTCCAGTGTATGTGTTTGTGTGGTTACATTTATTGTGGGCCACAACTACTTTCTGAATTATGAATAGACCTGCTAAAAAATTGTTTACTCGGAAATGTTTTCAAAATAAATGTACACTGGGGTATTACGGAAATGTACAATAAAAATACCAAAGTCAAGGTGCAAAAATTAAAGATAATGGGCTTCTCTTTTGGGAAAAAAAGAAACACCTAGGGGTTTTTGTTATATAACAAAATCACGACTCATTACCTATACGCCTAAAATTTGTAAATTAAGATTTAATCTTTATTATCACCATTTGGCAGCACACCTTCAATGCCCTAACAGCCCACAGCTTGGGAAATGCAGGTCTATTTTGATAGGGTTTCAATTCTCATTTAATATCTTTGGATATTCAATGAATGCCATTTTGAAGTATGTGTGTCCTGTTTCACGGCACACGGAGCGCAGTAAGCTAGGCAGGACGCCAGGAAACAGGATAAATGCGGAGTTTAATTGAAGTAAACACAGAATGAACAGGCAGCAACGCAGGTTGACAATACAATGACCGGACTGGGGAAACAAACTGAAACGCGGACTAAATACATTGGCCTAATGACAGCAACAGGAAACAGCTGGTGAACACAGGGAATCCACACGGGGTTAACGAGAAGGCATTGCACACGGAAGTAGCAAATGATTGGGGTAGAACAGGACCCCCCCCCCCAAAAGCACGCACTCCGGGCGCACCTAAGGGGAGTGAAGCGATGGGGACCGGGGACACAACAGCACCTGCGGAGACAAAAGCAACAACATCAACGGGGCACAAGGAACAGCACGGACACACAGAACTGGCACAAGGAGGACAACTCAAACAAGGGCAAGGGATAACGTGAAGCTGAAGGGACCCTTAGCGGGTGTAAGGCAGGGGCCGCCGGAACAGGAGGCGACTGCGAGACCGGAACAAGGGCTGAAGGGGACGCAGAGGGTGGCGAGGAAGCAGGTAAAGGGGCTGGTGGAGATGGCGAGGAGGAAGCTGAAGGGGACTGTGGTGGAGGGGGGAAGGGAACCGTAGCCACGGCAGATGGAGGCATAGCCACAGCCGGCTTAGGTGCAGGCGACCTACGACTCGTGGGCGGGGGACCCGCAGGCGTTTGACGAAGTGCTGGAGGCAGGGCCGGCGCTGGCCGATGAGGCGACACAGGTGAAGCAGAGGGTGGCTGCCGAACTGAACCCTGGGGCCGCTGGGACGGGAACCTTGGGAGGCGGCGCGTCAGTAGTCGGGACTGGAGCCGCAGGGGGCGGCGTGCCATCCACCGGGACTGGGGTCTCGCAGAGTGGTGCATCAGCCACTGGGACTGGGGTCTCGCAGAGTGGTGCATCAGCCACTGGGACCGGGGTCTCGCAGGGCGGGCGCGTCAGCCGCAAGGGACTGGGGCTTCGCAAAGTAGCGCGTTGACCTGCAGAACTGATCAACCACCTGATCGTTCTGACCCTGCTCCTTCGTCCACTCCCCTCTGTCATGGTTAATGTGCCGTTACGCGAGTACTCGCCCGAACATGATGCTCGCCTGCCCAACTGAGAAGCACTTCTTATTTTCCATGACTAATTTACAAGAAAACTCTGTCTGATGTAATTTACTCTGATTTAGGAGCTTATTGCTAGTGAGTGATATGCAGGGTCTGTCTGCACAGCAAACCTGAGTGTTCAAACCTTCATCTGATGTGAGTGGGATGTCCTACAGAGCTACAGAAGAGAGCCGCGGACATGCTTGGCATGGAAATGTCTCTGTTTGTTCCCTCTGGGACCATGAGAAACCTGATTTCTGGTAACATCCCATCGAAAGAGAACTTGCATTTGAACTGATGATCTTTGTAGAAAGGCATCCCAGATGATGAATGTGTTTCTTTCAGTCATGGTGCACTGTGGACAGCGAGGGCGCGAGATGGTTCTGGGAGACCTCTCGCAAGTCTATGAGCAGGGAGGCAGTGCACAGGTATACTTACTGACCCTCAAGAATCCTGATGTTCTGTACATATGGTACTGAAGTCTAAGCATACTAAAAGAAGAAAGGGTTTGATATCATGGTAACACTTTACTTAAAGAAGTCATTATAATGCATTATGGATACCTTCATAAAGCCTAATAATGCATTCATAAACACGGCTATAACTATTTGTAAAAACACATAACACATTATACCCATGTTTATTATGAATGCTCTGTGAAGCTCTCATTTATAATGCACGATAGGTGCCTTCATAATGCATTATAGTGGTTCTCCAAAAGCAGAGGGTCAATGCATCATGTAAATGACCCGCTCTCAGCTAGCTGGTGTCCACTCCACCACCGTCTCCACACTGCACACGGCTTACAACTTGGCAGAGCTGGAAGCCAAGATCTGTCATGGCGGCCCAGATGTCCCCCACCCCTGCACCTGCCTGGTGTGTGTTGAGAACACCCACAATGTCCGTGGTGGGGGGTGAGTGCTCCCTCTCTCTTTGCTCTGTGGGGTGAGGCAGAAGCAGTGTGGTCTGATGGCTGGGCCCAGATGGTGATGGGTTGATGATGAGCGGGGTGAAGATGTTCTGCCATTTGCTGGGTGTGTTCTGCAGTCTAATCCCAGGGGGCAGTGTAGCTATTTGTTATAGGATGAATTTTATGTGCTTAACAGCAGTAAGTCCAGTGTGGCTAGCAAAATAAAAGGGAAGGGGGTTATTGTCACTGTTAAACAATGATGGAGGACAGATAGAGGTGAGTGACAGTATGCAGACCTTTCTGACAATGTGGAGCCCTGTTCCTTTGCTTTATTTCTGTGTGAACTTGCCCCATTCAGTAACAAGGCTCTCTGTGGTTTTCTCCAACCCTGCCTGCAGCTGCACTGGCTTGGCTGTCCACATGAACGGCGCCCAGCTGATGAACGCAACAGTGGCCCAGGACGTATTTCCTTTAGTCATCCTGTCCCACTGCCACACCGTCTGCATCTCCCTGTTCAAGGTAGCGCCATCCCCTGGAGGAACGAGGAGCTGTAGCACTAATGCAGCACTACCTCTTATACAAAGCTGTGTGAACTATTGAATTTTTACATGGCATGGAGGACAAGATGAATGTGTGAATGCGCCCTTAAATAGGACTTAACGATGATAAAATTGTGATGGTAGATGGGTCCTCAAGAAGGATACATCATCTTTGGGTCATTTAAATATTAACCAAGACTCTTACCCCTTAAGGTGAGCAGGAGCTGTGTGAATGTGTCCCCGTTCATGCTGAGCACCCCTGCGCCTGAGAAGGGGGGGGGGCCCTTCAGTGGGGCTGAGTTTTGTCTTTTAGAAATCCACCTGCTGTGTAGTTTGAGATGGAAATTGGAGGATCTGATCACCTATGGGCCATTCTCCTTCTTTATTGCTCATCCAGTCTGTGTCACTCTTACGATGATGCAGCTCTTCTGCTCGTTCACCATCAAATGCAGCTGTCCTGTGCTTGCCAGGGCCTCGGGGT